ATAAACGTATCTTTCACACATTTGACAGAATCTAGATTAAATTTAAAGAAAATTATGCTTGACTAGTGAGCTTGCTGTATCGGAATTGTTGGATTTAATAAGTTGCAGTAGGCATGGCAGGTTAATCGACCCAAGGTTAATTAAACTCACGTCTCCCACTGCGGCCTCGTATCTCATTTGGCTAGAGCGTTGACTGTACTAAATCCTTTCCCTTGCTAGCGAGGAGGTCAATTCCGCCGCGTCTGCCGGGTTTTCCACAAGTGGACCAAATCAGTATCAGTTTATTGAGCGGAATATAGGCAAATGCCTCTGAGCACCCTATTGGCAACAAGGTGGCTAAAAGTGCATGAATAGAAAAGAAAACTGAAAAAAAGTACTTCAGTTACATGCTTGCAAGTGGAGCGAAAAGCTGGTGGAGTCGAAATAGTAATAAAATATGGCTACTGGCTTAGCACGAGTAGTCTAATAAGTATGTATAATAATTATGCGTGAGATGTATGTGCAATACTCTCCCCTGTGAGGCAGATTTACATTGGTGAATAAAATGTTTCGTGCATGTCTAGTTTGGTCTTAAATGTGTTCACACAGGTGGAGAGGACAACCTCTTCGGGAAGAGTGTTCCACGCTGTAACCACTCTGTTACTGAAGAAAAATCTACGTGCGTTGATGAATGAGGTCCTTAGTTAGTTTGAAAGCTCTACGATGAAATGCTTGTGTGCCATGGCGCATGTTTTGGTCGAAGATTGTATTACGTACTTTTCGGTCTGGACTACCAATTTTAGCAGCCTTTTCTGTCTGAAAGCATGACTGTGCATTTGCGCCATAGATGTATGCGCTTCTCGGCGTATGCTTTGCTTGACATAACGTATAATGTGCATGCACGAAACACACAAAACGGATCAAACATCTTTTGCAATGGCTTGTCTTTCCTAGGTTGCAGATTACCGCCTACCACCAAACAAGCACTCCTTCGGTATCACTGTGGAGACGGTGATAGAGGAGGATGACAGGGCGAACATCATGGAATATCGTCACTACCTCGTGGAAGTGGACGAGGACGGACCACTTGCTACCCAAACAGACCTTCGCCCACGCGATGAACTCCTCGAGGTAACGTTTACAGCTGTTTATCGACCTTTTCTCTTCTGCCATTTGTGTGACTTTGGAAAACTGACTGCTTATGGAATTATTTGCCGTAGGGGCAACACAGGTACTACCTAAAAGTCCAGACACCTGTGTCGCCGTCCTTTTGCACACTGCTTTATACAGCTGTGAGGGTAGATAACGAAGAAGAAGAAG